AAACCCAGGGCACCCTGGAGGCAAGCAGGGCTGTTTTTTTGGCATGGGCTTCCACTGTGCACAGATCCTGGGTAAAACAGGGCTTTCAAGAAAAAAACAAAAGATAGATAAAAAAAAAATAAGGCTTCGGGTAAAATCGCTCCAGACGTTCCGAGCGCTCTCAGGAAGCGTTCCGGACCGCTCTGGAGCGGCCGCGGCGCCCAAGACATCCTCCAAACCCGCCGATCCTCAGAGATTTCGAGTTATCCCGATCCGATTTTGCCCCGATCTTCGCGTCGTTTGATCCTGGGCCCAGGAGGGGCCCGGCCGAGGAGACGTGGCCGTGCGCAGATGCTCGTCGCCCGAGACCTCGGCGGGTTTGGGGGATGTACTGGGCGCCGCGGTCCCCCCCGCTCCAGGTAATACGTTCCGGAACGCTCTGAGAGCGCTCCGTTCCGGAACGCTCTGAGAGCGCTCCGGCACGCTCTGGAGCGGTTTATCCCGATCCCAGCCCCGTTTGATCCTGGGCCCAGGAGGGGCCCGGCCGAGGAGACGTGGCCGTGCGCAGATGCTCGTCGCCCGAGACCTCGGCCTCGGCCGCCCGCAGGGCCGCCGCCGCGAGCCAGCCCGTCCGCAGCATGGGCCCGCCGCGCGCGCAGGGGCAGAGGGCCTCGCGGGGCGCCCGGCCGACCGGCCTCGGCCTCGAGCCCTCGGGCGCCTCCTCTTCGGCAGCGGGGCCACCATGAACGACGTGAGTGTCCTCCTCCTCCTCCTCCTCCTCCTCCTCCTCCTCCTCCTCCTCCTCCTCCTCCTCCTCCTCCTCTCTCGCTCTCCTCCTAACTCCTCTCCTCCCTCCTCCTCCTCCTCCTCCTCCTCCCTCCGCCTCCGCTCCTCCTCCTCCTCCTCCTCCTCCTCCTCCTCCCCTCTCCTCCTTCTGCCTCCTCCTCCTCCTCCGTCCTCCTCTCCTCCTCCTCCTCCTCCTCCTCCTCCGCCTCCTCCCCCTCCTCCTCCTCCTCCCTTCTCATCCCTCCTCCTCCTCCTCCCTTCTCATCCCTCCTCATCCTCCCAGAAAAAGGAGAGGAGGGAGAAGAAGAAAAGAAACAAAACGCCATGCACAGCACAGGCGCACTGGGAAACGCGAAACAGCCGTCGGTTGCACACTTCCGACGGCACTGCTGTGAAGCACAACGCCTGACTCCCTGAAGGAGTCCGAGTAGATGGGGTCGGAGGATCGAGCCGTATCGTCGAGGCATCGGTGACGTCCGCGATGTTTCGGCGACGCTGGCGCGGAGAAAAGCGGGCTCCACATCGAGCCGCATCGGCGATGAGGAGCGATTCTCCGACCCCATCTACTCGGACCCCGCCTGTGAGCCGTAGAGTGATCCGGCAGAAATATATATATATATATATATATATATCCTTCTGTATGTACCGGTAGGACCACCCTACGGGTGATAAGGAGGTTGGGGGGAAGGGGGAGGCGGTCGATGTGCGATGGCTCTGGGTTCTTTGGCCGTTTCTTGAATGAATTATGCGATTGGCGCGCTCATCTGCCCATCTATAGATCGACCTATAGATCGAGTTAACCATGTAGGACAGACGTGTATACATGTAAACAGCTAGATCTACATATTTTGATCAATATATCAGTATACTGGCTTATCCGTCAATCTATAAATCAATACACTAACATGTAAATATACATATAGGTATACAGCTAGATATAGATCGAATAACTATTTACATGCATGTATACATATGTGTATACATATATGTATGTATGTACGTATGTCAATCTATATATAGATGCCGATCGCGATATATGCATAAATATGTGCATATGTGTGTATGCAGATAAACATATACCCATGCCAGTCTATATATATGTGTGTACATACAGATCTGAACATCGATCTACATACCTATATATATATATATATATATGTGTACGTGGCTCTGTATCTCTATATTTGTGTACGTCTATCCATCTCTCGACCATCGGGACAACCGTCGGGAGAACCATCGCGGCAACCATCGAGGCAACCATCGAGACCACCATCGGGACAACAATCGAGACAACCATCGGGACAACCATCGGGACAACCATGGGGACAACATCTAAACACATCTATATATATATACATATATATATATGTATACATAGATCTATATATATATATATATATATATATATATATATATCAACCATCGGGACAACCATCGGGACAACCATCGGGACAACCATCGGGACAACCGTCGGGACAACCATCGGGACAACCATCGGGGCAACCATCGGGGCAACCATCGGGACAACCATCGGGACAACCAACGGGTCAACCACAATCATCGGGACAACTGCCCGGACAACCCCCTGGACAACTGGGGGCCACGCCCGGCGCTCGGGGGGGCGGCCCTTTTGGCAATAGATGGCCTCTAATATGGATGCAACTCGCGCAACTTCGCCTCGCCCGCACGCACGACACAAACCGAAACCGAAACCGATTCCCCGGTTGGGATCACTTTCGTTCCAACATCCCAAACTAGGATACTACTTCTACAAAACCCTGGAGTTTGGCGAGGGTCCTGGTCATCGCCCTGGGGCGTGAGTTTTGTAGCCTGCTTGAGGCAGGAAGGAGGCGGTATACAAAAAAATCGAGGATGTTCGGAGGCAGGGTGAGGTGGGCTGGACCTAAGCGTTGCTTTTCGTGCTGTGTACGTGTTGTTGTTCGTTGTGCTCTGCCTGCTTTCCTGTACCTCCCTCCAAAACGAAAAACAAAACACAGCCGAAGCCCCGCTACACAGCGTTTGGGCCCAGCCCTGGAGGTGAGACAGCGCCCCAGAAGCTCCGAGAGCGAGGGCCTCCGAGGCCACGGGCCCCCCAGAGGCCCGACGCCGTCGCCAGGAGCTTCGCCACGACGTGGACCCCCCAGAGGTCTCGACCCGTTCCCGGGGCTTGTCTTCATCCTGAGTCGTTCGCTGCCAGGCCCGAGGCCCGGCGAGGGCCTCCAGAGGCTGAGACCCTAGAGGCACCGCACGCCGTGATCGCTGTCACGACGCGAGGGGGTCCGGGAGAGAGGATGCACAGCAGGAGAGAGCAGGGAGGCAAGATTCTTTGAGGCGGGGCTAACGCCTCGGGGAGCTCCGAGCACGAAGGGCGCTCGGCCAGTCGCGCGAAGAGGCGCGCCGCAGGTCACGAGAAGGCCTGCGCGCAGCGAGTCGTGGGGGACTGCACGGCACGGGAGGCAGGGGCAACCTGCACGCTCGCTCGCGGCAGCTCGCGCTCGCGCAGCAACGGGGAGGCGAGAGGAGGGCGGGGGAGGGCGCCAGGAAGCGACTCCTGGGAGGTCTTCCTCGGAGCGGCCCAGGACGACCAAGTCCGACTACAAGGCCACAGGGCCAGATGGGGCCAGATTAAGCCGGGGGCTGGGCCCGACCTACAGTAGGAGCTCGACCACAAGAAACCTGGCACAAGGAACCCAACACTGAGACCCCAGGACGTCCACTCATTTCTGGTGGGAACGTCACGCTTCCCATAGCGAAACCATCAAACCCAAGCAACGCAGGGCACCCTGGAGGCAAGCGGGGTGCCTCGTGGCATGGGCTTCCACTGTAATTGAAGGGGCCCTAGGACACACAAATAAATACACACAAATAAAATGTTTCCCCATATTTTCCCATATGTTCTGGATGTTTCTCTTCCCGCCCAATTCCCATATTTTCACATATTTTCTGGGGAATCGACGATTAATTGTGTCTGTGTGTTTTTTGCCTTCCTGAGTAGTGTCCGCCCTGACGCGCGTGTCGGCGCGGAGCCAACCGCTGCGACGAGAGGCCCCCAGGGAGACCGCAGACGACGGGAAACCGAAACTGCAGGGAGGACCGCCGTTGCCTCGGCCGGCCCTCCGCCGATGCTCCCTCCTCCTCCTCTCTCCATTCCCTCCTTCTCCTCCTCCTCCTCCTCCGTCCCTCCCTCCTTCCCTCCCTCCCTCCCTCCCTCCCCCTCCCTCCCTCCCTCCCTCCCCCCCCCCCACCTCCTCCTCATCTCCTCGTCCTCCTCATCTTCCTCCCCCTCCTCCTCCTCCTCCTCCTCCTCCTCCTCCCCCCTCCCTCCCTCCCTCCCTCCCTCCCCCTCCCTCCCTCCCTCCCTCCCTCCCTCCCTTCCCCTCCTTCCTCCTCCTCCCCTCCCCTCCTCCTCCTCCCTCCTCCTCCCTCCTCCTCCTCCCTCCTCCTCCGCCTCCCGCCTTCTCCCTCCCCCTCCCTCCTCCTCCTCCGCCTCCGAATGGTCCTCCACCTCCTCAACTCCTGTTCCTTCTCACGAACTCCTCCCTGTCGCACCCCGAGGCCAGTCGACAAGGCGGGCCGGGCGATTCGCCTGAGACTTCCACACCATGTATGGTCCTGAAGCTTCGAATTTGCAACAGCATCGCACATGGAGGATGGAGTGTTCTCAAGATGTGGTTCTTGCCTTAGCGCCGCGCACATCCGTCTTGAACATTTGCACGAGCTTCACGGATGGAGGGCGGGGCGTTTTCAAAATGTGGTTCTCGCCTTAGCGCCCCGCACATCCGTCTTAAAATGCAACTAGAGTTTTACGGATGGAGGGCAGAGCGATTTCAAAAGTGTGGCTCTCGCCCTAGCGCCGCGCACACTTGAACGCACGAATTTCACGGATGAAGAGCAGTTCCTTTTCAGAATGTGGCTCTCGTTCTAGCGCCGCGCACATTCGCTTGAAGACTTTACAACAGTTTGAAGCAGTATCATGGCGGTCGTCCCAGACGTGGTGTTCTGGAACGATGTCGGATTGTCAAGGCGCATCACACTTACATTGATTCGTGGTGTTGAAGTCCCAAGAATGGTGTTCTTTCTAAGTTAAGGATCGTCAAGACGCAACAGTAACGGTGACTCGCGGCGTCGAAGTCCCAAGAATGGTGCCCTGGCATGGTTCAGGGGCACTCCCATCAGCGAAAACAAATCCTCCACCACCGTCTCTCCTCCCCTCCCGCGGGGGCGGCCGCGGGAGCCTGCCAGGTGCGGAAGCAGTCGTGCCCCTTTCCCGGGGGCGAGAGGACGGCCCGGTGCTCGGCCAGCAACCCCAGGAAGCAGCCGAGACCCACCTGCAAACAGCAAGCAAAACAACAGCGCAAGACAGAAAAGCGCAGAGCGCGTCTGCCCTCCGGAGAGGCATCCGAGTCCCGAGAGGGGCGACGAAGACGAGGAGCAGCAGCAGGAGCAGAGAGAGCTGCGGAGGGGAAACGAGGGCGGGCGGGGAGGCCAGGAGGTCCGGAAAGAAAGGGGGGTGGATGGGGGGGGAGGGAGGAGAGGAACGGAGGAAAGATGGGGGAACAATAAAGACGCACCTGGCTTCCCTGCAGAAGGCGCGCCCTGTCCCGCGATTTCGCCGGGGGGGGGGGGGCACCAGGCCTAAGGTGCTTCCGAGGCATGTGTAGGGTTGCGAAGCTTGGCGGACGAGCTATCCCAAGCGAGCCCCCTTCTTACTGCGGAAAGAGGCTTGCCCGCTCATCCCTCCGCCGCCCTGGGAGCCTGGACCCTGGGATCGCGAGGAACCGAAGGACAGAATGCAACCCAAAGGCGCGCTGCATCCGAGAACGACTGCGTCGCTATCCCGAATGGAGCCCACTGTCAGCAATCCACCGAACAGCGTTGCACCCCGTCACGCCGCACTCGATGAACGTGAAGGCACGTCCGCGGGGGCCGGAGGAGGCGTCGCTCCCGGTGGGCCGAGCTTGGCCGACAATCACGTGGACTTCCGTTTCGCGCCTCGGTCAAGATAATTTGTACGCCCGTGCATTCTTACCGCGACGATGTTCAAACCCCATGTTCCCCCAGGGACCTGCGCCCCCCCCTCCCTCAGCCGAGTGGCCCCGCTACGCCTGCCGCGGCCTCCGGCTGTAGTATCGAGAGTCCAACGGTGCAGCGCGGTGATCCCATGGAGCCAGGGCTGAAGCGCAATGCAAAGCGGTAGGGAGAGCGGAAAGTAAGGCGAAGGATACCGTCGGGGCGTTGACCTAAGAAACGATAGATAAGGAGCGAGGCTTCTATTTCCCTTAACTTGAACTCCGATTTTCGATCGAAAGCCGACGAAACACCTATTTTGGCAAACAGTAAAACAACTGAGTAACACGGAGCGCCTCCCAAACGAAAAGGGTTCCTTCTTCAGCGCCCCGGCTGCACAGCTTCAGCTAGCCCCTACACCTACTTGCACCGAACGTTGCCCCTGACTCGGGGATGGACAGACCTCCCTTTTAATAAAACGTGGTTTAGTGAAGACGACTTGGGGCCCAAAGCTGGCGGGCGCAAGCATTGAAAATGACGGCCGCGGCGCCCTCTCGAGGACCGAAAACTGACAATTCACGAATCGACGCGTCTCTGTTGGGGGTTCTGTCCGCCCCCGACCGACACCTCGTCCTCCCCGGCCCCCTCGGCCGAGACTCGGCGCCTGCTCGCTCACCACCCGGACCAGGCAGGAGAACTCCGGGCGGAGCAGCGCCTCCAGGACCGACGGGCCCCGCACGGCGGGGGCCAAGGCGCCGCGAATATGCCACCCGACGCAGCGGTGGAGAAAAAAGGTGCACGGTTTTCCCCTGGGGCCGTAGGCGACCCGAAGAGGAGGAGGAGGAGGAGGAGGAGGAGGAGGAGGAGGAGGAGGAGGAGGGAGGGAAGGGGGGGAGGGAGGAGGGGATGGGAGATAGAAGAGGAGAAGGAGGGAGGATGAGGAAGTGAGGAACGAGTAGAAGGAGGAGAACGAGGAGGAGGAGGAGGAGGAGGAGGAGGAGATGGAGGTGGAGGAGGAGGAGGAGGTGGAGGAGGGGGAGGCGGAGGAGGAGGAGATGGAGTAGGAAGAGGAGGAGGAGGATGAGAGGGAGGAGGAGATGGAGGTGGAGGAGGAGGAGGAGGAGGAGGAGGAGGACGGGTCGCCTAAGCCCTTCGGAGAAACCCTCCAAGAAAAGGTACCCTCGGCGCTGCCCCATGGCCGGTGTCGCCAACGCAGTGACCGCATCCTCGTCGCGGACGGCTGTTCCGGGCATCGCTCGATCGGTCCCCATCCCATCCCTACTGGCATGGCCTTGCCCCCACTGGCCGATTGACTCTCCCTCTGGTGGGCTCCGCGGGGCCAATCCCCACCTGGAGGGGGAAGGGGCTGGTGGGGCGGAGGTATCGTGGCCCCGCCGGAACGGGGGTCGGGTAGGCTGGGGGCCAAACGGTGCTGATGCCGCCACTCCCCGGACCTTCCCTGGTGCGCGCTCCGGCGAGAACTCCGCGGAGAGCCCAGCCGTTGCGACCAGGGTTCCCCAGTACGAACACTGGTATCGGTACCATCTCCTCTCCCTAAAAGGCGATGCTAGAGGGAAAGAACTCGATGAAGTGGGCTATATAGGAGATCCGCGCGGATTCTTCGATCTGCGCTGACCCCTCTCCATGGAGAGCAGAGCGCGCCAGGGGCGGCGCCGGAGGCGCCGCCGGGGGTCTCCAGCACAGGTCCCAGAAATCTGCGAGGAGTCCCGAAAGCTTAGCGTTATGCCGTCGCTTCCTCTTCGCCCCGCGCCCCAGTAAGCCCATGCCGACCACACCACCCCCCAGGCGTGCCGCTGAGCAGTCCCCAACACAGCTCCACGCGGCAAGAGCCCACCCCCACCCCTGGCAGGCGAATCCCTGCAACGAGCCCTCCTCTGATGCACGAGGATGCCTCCCGCGGCGGCCCCTGAAGCCCATGACCCGACCGGCCCCTCTGGCAGGCATCTCGCTCTCCAGTCTGATACAGTCGTGGCGTTGACCTAAGGAACCCTAAATAAGGCACGGGGCCCCTTCCTCCCATAAGTTGAGCTTCGATGTCCCATGGAAAACCTCAAGAAAACAGAAGGCAAACTGCAGAACAATCAAGGAACACCAAGCCCCTCCCCAACGAAAAGGGTTCCTTCTTCAGGGCCCCGACTGATAGATGCTGCGGACCCCCACTCCCAGCCCCTGAATCTTACGCCTGGGAAAACCAACAAAAGTACCGATACCGCCATTCCCTGGGCCTTTCCCGGAGCGCCTTTTGACCAGGATCTCGGGGCGAATCCAGCGATGGCGAGAAGGGCCTCCCTGGAGGATCCAAGATGCGAAAACAAGGCGAGAGTCTCTCCCTCTTCCTCCTCCTCCATTCCTCCTCCTCCTCTGGATCAACTTCGAAGCCAGAGGATTGCGGAGCCCCTCGGGATTCGGGGTAGTTGTTTGTGGGCTTTCGTTGTTGTTCAATGGGCTGCCGTGTTTTTCTTATATCTGGTGATCGTGATCATCATACGTTTGTTCGCTCTCTCTCTATATATAGATGTGTGTATGTGTATGTATGTGTGGTTATGTGGTTCCCCCTCTCTCTCTCTCTCTCTCTCTCTCTGTATGTCCGCCTCACTGCACACAACACAGCGATGGATATATCATTATCGCTCTCTCCCTCTCTCTCTCTCTCTCTTTCTCCCCCCCACGTTTGCCCACACAACACAAAAGAGGAGCAGATACAGAAATGCGGTTACCCCCAAACACACCACAACGCAAGTAGGGGAGCGGAAGAAAGAAATTGTTGCGCTCTTTCTGCCTCAATGTTCCTCTCCCCCCTTTGTGCGCAGCACACATGTACGTACTGCTTCTCTGGTGCGAAATCGTAGAATTAGGGTCTTAGGATAGTCTCTACTTCTCTGGGGGCACAAGTCACAAAACTTCCTCGACGGGGCACATGGCACACACCCTTCTCTGCTGGCACAAGTGGCACAACCTCGGGCGACAAGTCACACCACCTTGGGCGACAAGACAAAAGAACTTGGGCGACAAGTCACAACACCTTCTATGCTAGCAGCTGGGCCTTCCGGGACATCCTGGGGCGCACTTTGGGCCAAGGGCACCTGTAGGGAGCATCAGGTCCGTGTATCGAGCAGACGTCCTGGGAGCGGCGGCGTCGTGGTAGGACTGCAGAATGTTCTTGGTAAGGCTTCGTGCTGCGCGCAGACAGCTCCCCCACGTAGTCCAGGCTGACCTCAACATGCCCCCTGAGGGAAGTCCCAGCTGGCCTCAACAGCCCCCCCGAGTAGCCCAGGGCGGGCTTAGCACCCCAACTCTTGGGCACGGAGCGCCCCAGGTGCTCCGCCAGAGGCAGCGTGTTGAGACCGCCCTGGACTACTTCGGGGGCCTGTTGAGGCCAGCCGGGACTAGTCAGGGGGGCATGTTGAGGCCAGCCAGGACTACCTGGGGGAACTCTCTGTGCAACCCGAAGCCTCACCAGCTCTCGCTGGCGGGAACATCCACAGTCGGCCTCTGCGGGAGTGCCACCGGGCTTGGCTGGATATCTGCTCCGGAGCCGTGTCCCCTGCATCGGGGTGACCAGCAGCCGCCTGTCCCGCAGCCTCCACGGCGGCGCCCGGGCCCTGGCCTCTGAGAGCATCGCCTCGGCGCCCGGGGCGCCGTGGAGCTTGTAGCGCGCGACGCCGTCCGAGTGGTGCGGGAGGCCGATGGGCAGCGGGAAGGCGGAGGAAGAGAGAGCGGCACGAGCATCGGTGCTCGGAGCTCCGCGCGGACGTTGGCGGCGCGCACAAGGAGGTATAGGGGGAGGGGGGAAGGCTTCTTA